AAATAGAATAGAAAATGAATAGAATAGAATAGAATAGAATAGAAAATGAATAGAATAGAATAGAAAATAGAATAGAATAGAATAGAATAGAATAGAGAATAGAATAGAGAATAGAATAGAATAGAATTTTTTATTGGCCAAGTGTGATTGGACACACAAGGAATTTGTCTTTGGTGCAAATGCTCTCAGTGTCCATGAAGAAAAAATAAAATACATTCATCAAGAATCCTAAGACACAACACTGAATCATTGTCATAGGATGCTAAATAAGCAATCAAATCATTCTAGGGAACACAGGAAACAATATAAATGGTAAAGATACAAGCAACATGGTTATAGTCAGATGTGGGGAGAGACAGGGTTAGTTACAACATAACTGAAAAGAGTGACTTACGACCACTTTTCACACTTATGACGGTTGCAGCCCCCCCCCCCCCCAGGGTCACGGGATCCAAAACCCAGAGGTTCAGCCACTGGCATGGACTTATGGGAAACAGCTGCAGGCAGTCCTTGACTGACAACAATTCATTTAGTGACCAGCCAGAGTTGCAACGGCCTTGGGAAAAGTGACACATGACCCTGCTTCACACTTACAACCATTGCGGCATCCCCATGGTCACTTGATCCCCTCTTTGCGACCTTCTGACTGGCCAAGCCAGTCAGGGGGAAGCCGGATTCACTTCACAATGGTGCAACTCACTTAACAACCACAGTGATTCATTTAACGGCGGTAGCCAAAAAGGTTGCAAAATGGGGCGTGACTCACTTAGCAAGGGTCTCACATAGCAACAGAACGGTTGGGGCTCCGTTGTGGTCAAAATCGATATGAGCTCTGTTGCTGAGGGCTTGAATTTGTGGCCGCAGGGAAGCTGCGACGGTCGTTAAGTGCGAAAAAGGGTGGCGACTCCCTTCTTTCCCTGCTTTATACTTCAAACGGTCATTAAAAGGTCGTAAGCCGAGGACCACAGGAACAGGGTAGAACCGTTGCATTCCCGCTGTTGCCAGTCCCGGGAAACCGGAGGCGGGCAGGCAGGGAGGGGAGCTGGTGAACTTTGGCTGGGTGTGGCAGCCCTGGGCTGGCCTGGAGGAAACCGAGGAGATGAAGGGAAGGAAGCAGCTGGAGGAGGAGGAGGAGGAGGAGGAGGAGGAGGAAGAGGAAGCGGGCTGGCACAAGAGGCTGGGTGAATGGCAGCGCGGGTGAGAAGGGTGAAGAGCAAGCAGGAGGCAGACATCCACACACCAGAATAACACAGTTGGAAGGGTCCGTGGAGGTCTTCTAGTCCAACCCCCGATTGAGCAGGAGATTGTCCAATCTCCAGTGATGGAGCAGCCACAAGTTCTAGTGGCAAGCTGTTCCAGTGGTTCATTGTCCTCACTGTTAGGAAGTTTCTCCTTAATTCCAGGCTGTTTCTCTCCTGGACTAGTTTACATCCATTTCCTTCCTTCCTTCCCTCCTTTTCTTTTCTTCCTTCCTTCCTTCTTTTATTTCTTTCATTCCATCCTTCTTTCCTTCCTTCCTTCCTTTTCCTTCCTTTCTTTTTTCCCCTCCTTCCTTCTTTCCTTTCTTTTTTCCTTCCTTCCTTCTTTCCTTTCTTTTTTTCCTTCCTTCCTTCTTTCCTTTCCTTTTTCTACCTCCCTTTCTTTTTTCCTTCCTTCTTTCCTTTCTTTTTTCCTTCCTTCCTTCCTTCCTTCCTTCCTTCCTTCCTTTTCCTTCCTTTCTTTTTTCCCTCCTTTCTTCCTTTCTTTTTTTCCTTCCTTCCTTCTTCCCTTTCTTCCTTTTCCTTCCTCCCTTTCTTTTTTCCTTCCTTCTTTCCTTTCTTTTTTTCCTTCCTTCCTTTCTTCCTTTCCTTCTTTCCTTTTTCCTTCCTTCCTTCCGGAATCCTAGGACTACAAGGGGCCTCGGAGGTCTTCTAGTCCAACCCCGCCCCCCCTGCTCAAGCAAGAGACCCTGGATCATTTCAGTCAAATGGCCGTCCAATCTCTTCTTAAAAACCTCCAGGGTTGAAGCACCCACCCCTTCTGGAGGGGAGCCGTTCCAGGGGGTCAAGATTGGAAGAGCGGGGAGTCACCACCCAGGGGGGGCTTCCCCCTGGCTTTCAGTCCCCCCCAAGGGGGGGGGGGACAAGCAGCCTTGTGTGTGCTCCCACCTGCCACGTTCCTGCACCCACCTCTCCCAGCCCCACCTGCCAATCAATCCTCAGATACCACCCCTCAGCCATTGTTGGGGTTCTCTGGGGGTGCATGCTTTTTTCCCACGCTGGCTGCACCCCAAGGCTGCAGTGGGGGAGGGGGGAGAGCTCACCCTGGATCCAAAGCCCCAGAAGCCCCCCTTGGTGGTGTGTGTGTGTGTGTGTGTGTGCTACACCTGGGTCAAAGATTAAAAAAAACGACCCAGAGTTTCTTTTAAAAAAAAATGGGCAACCTCCCTGAGACAATGAGGCTCTTGTTCCTCCGTGCAGAAGTGGGTTTGCTGGGCCCCACTGGAG